GACTGAGCATAAATTTGCATCATTTACTTGCTCATCTATATCCAAAGTGATTAAGAAAACAATCATGTGAATATAAAACAAGAGCAATTGACCGACCACCATGACCTAGAAGTTATCTGAAAATAACCCTCCTGATATGATGATGAAACTTTGCTTGTTATTATGGCTAATTACTTCTCCTAATTTATATATATATATATATATATATATATATATAAAATAATAAAAAAGGTGAATTATGGGTATGTCTGTCTCTTTCGAAACGTGGGCTGTCATTATGTTCTGCTCGGCTGCAGAGAGGACGAATATTATAATAATCATTCAAATTATATTTATTTTCTCCAGCAGTACCGTTGTTAATTATTTATATTTATAACTTCTAATTAGTGTGTGTGCTTAGAGACTCAAATGAGGTATTAAGTCTGATTGAGATAACTTGCTCCAGAAGACGAAGATTATATAAGATGTTTATGCATCACGCAACGCAACCACGTATATAATTACGCCGCATCCGCATGGATGATGAACAAGTTAAAGTTTGCCATTTTCTAATAATTGTATGGGGAAAACAATAAGTTCTAACTGAGCTGACAGTCCCAGGATTTCAAAATGGAGTGGGCTAAATTTATCTTACGTACAAACCTACTAAGAAGATAAAAAAACTCAATGATACGAATGAATTTCATTGATAACAAAAAAAATTCCAAAGAATCTTTGATCTCTTAGGTTTTTTATATTGACCCGACATTATAAAAGTATAACCTATTAAATAATATATATATATAAGACAATTTGTCAACAACTAATTAATTCATTAAATCTCACTGATCGATATTATTCATATAAGCAAGAAAACCAATATTATTATCTGAGTTTTCTCTATTTCATGACAATAAAAGCCTTTGACTAATTTTCCCATAGGAACTCTTATGATAAAATGTAATGGAAGTAATTCTTTTAGCTATAGCTTGAAGAAAAGGAAAGCTAGTGATATGAATGGTTTTCCAAAAAATCTAAAAATAGTTGATCACGTGTTTATCAACTCAAAATTGATGTAGAACATAATTAATCCAAGGTAAAGTTTCCAATGTTTTCAAAAAGAAAAAAATAGTTTAACGTTAATTTCACACTAATCGGGGGAAATTCTATTATGTTTACACTCTTTCTATCCTTTGCAAAGATTTGCAAGTCAACCTTCTAGCTAGCAGAGGTGGGCTAAATGTAATTTAGAGTTGAAAGACAAGAAAAGTAGCTTGGGCTATAGCCGAGGTTAGTTCCTTGCTAGGTTTGTCCCTGGTTTTAACTTATATTAATAAAATTATTAATTTGCATCACACAATCGAATTTTAAAAATGCGTATAGCTAATCTCTTTTCGTATAAATTTGAGACCCAATAAATGAGTTTCAACATGAATCTCGTATGTGTGGATCAGTAAATATGGTATATATATAGCATAATTCAATAATACAAATTCATATTGCAATACAATTGTAATTGTTAGATTAGATCGACATGTTCACCATCTCTTTAAGGTATAGACTAATATTTGTCCTTGTTTGATGGGTAGAAGAAGTAACAAAATTGAATTAGCTTAATCCACTGAAAAATCTGAAAAATGAATGCGGATATATCCACACAATCCCATTATATGCACTTTTGTAGAATAACTTAACCTACTAAGAAGGTGAGATTCATAATCTCATTATTACAATTCATTGACTTTAAACCAAAGTCCCGAGAGCCGCGATAAATTCAGAATACTTATCCTTTTCAATCCAACCAATGATACATCTGAATTCAAATGCAATCCTAATAACTAAATAAAACCTTGAATTATTGAATCATTCTCACAAACCCATAAAAGATGTGGACGCAAATTTTGTCGGTAATACAAATTAAATTTGATATTAACAAAGTTGTTAGTTAGCGTAACTAGAAGATGAAGTAGTTGTTCACGAGGCTTCAGTAATGATGCAGATACAGCCGATTCACTGGTTCTAATTATTTTCAAGTCTTCAGCATTAGCCATATGTAATCAACTAAAGTCTAAAAGTCACAGTCGCACCAACCTTAAAAAAGCTTGAATTGATGGCTTGCTGCTAGCTTAATAGGCAAAGATCCAATCGATCAAAATCAAAGGTTGAATAAAAATATCCATGCATGATGTAAAGCATTCGCAATGTGGATGTTGTGTTGTTTTTGGTCCAAGAAAAATAACAATATAGATATATATATATATATATATATATATATATATCTATATTGTTATTTTTCTTGGACCAAAAACAACACAACATCCACATTGCGAATGCTTTACATCATGCATGGATATTTTTATTCAACCTTTGATTTTGATGTTTTAGCTTCTTGGTCTAGTTTAAGATCGAGCTAAAAAAGTAAAGAATTCACTAGTGTAGTGATTTGGAATGATTACTCCTTCATATAAAGTCTTGGGTTCGAGTCCTATAACATCCGTGTAGTGTGTACCAATTTAGTATATTATCCCATCTTTTAATATAAAAAAATCTTTAAAAAAATTGAGCTAAAGAACGGTTTTTTTAATTTGAACTTTAAAAGGATAATTATTTATAAATAAATAAAAAGAAAAAATGGGGGGAAATTGTTAATTTTTGAAAGGTGCATGCTTGTGGCATATGGCAGGCTTGGCAGCAATGCATCACTCGTTTTCTACCAAACTCTTTGGAATGGACAAGATTTGTGTTCCACCAACTCCACATCGTCAAGCCTTATCCAAATCCATATTTCCATATCCGAATTATAGGAGTTGGGATTTTTTTATATAAAAATTATTTTTTATCTGTGTCCCCACACACAAATATCCATCCTAACTTAGTTTGCAAAACTCTCACAGCTCCTCAACTTGCACCACCACCATGCGCAATGCTATGAAAATGCAATATTGAATAGATGGGTGGAGGAGGCATCATATAATTGTGACGACTATACATATATTTTACAAACACTACCAAAAAAAAAAAAAAACAATACTTACATGAAATCATACTTGCATGAAAATTGAAACTTCGAGAATGGTTTATGTATGTGCCAACTTCCACGTTTAATTTAACAAGAATATAAATATATAAAAAAAGAGGACATATTTTTGGTAAATTGTTGTAATGTCTAACCCAATTTTATGATAGAGATTAAGTTGAAGAACATGATGAAATTACAGCTCCATAAGACTAGGAAGAAGGTTTGGCTTTTCCGTCACTCATTGAGACGGCCTAAAAATAAATTAATAGTCACATATTAGGAACCATGTTTTTCATGCCATTGATCCCCGGGATTTACCGACATGATGTTTTGCCTTTTTTTTCTTTTCTCCCCTTCAATTCACGGGGTTTAAAGTCTAAATTACTGTTATCTCCTTAAGTAACACGCTTTAAATAAAAAAAGTCTTTTTTAGTAAGAACATATGTTATCAATTTGTATTTTTTTAAAGAAAAAGTAGTAATAATTGAGACTTATAATATAACACTCACGTTAAGAATTGCATTCTCACTCCTTTTGAGGGGGAAAAAGAAAAGAAAAGAGAAAGAGTACATAATATTATAACTTTGGCACCAATAGTTACCAAATCATGCTTAATTCTGTTTATGTGTCTTAAATAGGAAGATAATGTTAAGGATTAGCATAGTGGGTTGGTGTGTATAAGTACTTTTTATTTATTTTTAGTACGGGATAGTCTAAACTACAAAAGAGGGGGTAGGCTCGAGCTTGAGACCAATAGTCTACTAGTCAATGTATTTTTCTGTTGAGCTTAAACATATTCAAATTATTTACGGTGCTCAGAAGCTTCTAGTTTATTTGATACAAGATAGCTGTAAAACCAGCGTTATCCATGCTCCAAGTGCGAAATAGAACTTCATCTTCTTGACTAAAAAACTAAAATGGTTCATCTATAAAATTTGTGCGTTTTGGCCATCCTCGTAGTTTGAGTCTAACCATGCACAATTCCAAATGAAGGAAAATAAGGAAAATGCTGTAACTACCAGAACTAAAAATCCAATTTAAATGACATGTCGTGTAATTAAAATAGTTAGGCAAACCTAACAATTTTTCAACATTAGCTTTTTATTTGAGTCGTTCATGGTTTTGATTACATGAGCAAATTTGCCCCTTGAATCTTAGCAGGAAATATGAATCACGAGAAAATGTAACGCATGTGCAAATCATGAGCTCATTTCATACTTACACAAGTTGTAATGAAATAACTCATTAATTTAGAAATTATCGAAGGTTCTTTAAATTCATGTAGATTTGACAAGAAAACGTGTAACACATCATGAGTAAAACAATTTCCAAAACTAGTATTTTTCAAACGCTTCGACGCCAATATAGTCTAGTGGAAAATAACTTTCACTTGTAGACTAGTCATTTGAGATTCGAACCTGCATGGTACTTTGGCAATGTGTGTGAGAAAACCCCCCTCTAACAATATTACTTGTATAACTTCGACATTGTCTTATCACACATTAAAGTTAGATTTACCCAAACATTATTTATAACCTTTTAATTCAAACTCATGATAATTTTTCATAAAGAGATGGAAGTTAAAATTTAAAATTGTCCAATAACACCAATGAGAATTAAAACAAATTCAGGTTTAATATAAAAAATGTTGCTTGAGAAAAGAAAAAAAAAAAACTTTATCAGTTCGGCTGAACTACACAGTGTACTGGGCCTGCTCCTGCTGGCCTAGCTAGCTCAGTGTCCACGATGAGTCTTTGACCAGTCGTTTGGTCTCTCGCCAAAGCCTGAACCGCAAAACCCGCTAAAATCAGGGCATCCAATTTATTTCCCACTAAAATTAATCAAAACTAATTTTCTTTCTAGTCAGATTAAAATTAATTAATTTTAAATTACTGAATTAACTAATTTTCTTCATCAATCTAGTGGGCTCCACACCATGGCTTGTCATTTGGTCTCCCTCATTCCCCTTGTATATAAGTTCGTCCCGAGGGCATTAGTTTCGTCTTTTATCACGACGCTGATAAAGAGAAACAGCCAAAACCATTTGCAGACTCTCTCCCATACCCGACCCGAGAAATTTCCAAACAAACCACAACGCACACGCAGAGGCTCACACAGAGCTTGGAATATGAGAAGAATCTGACGAAGAAGAAGAAGATAAGGCAAGCTACACATGACGATGATGACGCTGCACAGAAAAAAGCTCAGAAGCTCGCGAAGAACCACTGCCAAGTCAGATTTCTTCGACGGCTTACCGGACGATCTCGTTGTCTTCATCCTCTGCAAGCTCAGCTCCTCCGCCTCTTCACCGTCCGATCTCATCAACATCCTCATCACGTAAGCACTTCTTTTGTTACCTCCGCTCCTTGTGGTGGTTGTTCCATGACTTTTGGTATTGTAGTTAATTTTTTATTTATATTTTTGGAAAACAAAAATAGGTGTAAAAGATTGAATCGCTTGGGGCTTCACTCTGTGGTATTATCCAAAGCCGGTCCCAAAGCATTTGCTATCAGAGCCAAGAACTGGTCCGATTCGGCTCACCGTTTTCTCAAACAGTGCGTGAGCGCCGGTAACATCGAAGCTTGCTACACTCTCGGGATGGTCAGCCTCTTGAACTAATTTCAATTTATTTAATTTTCTCTGATTTTTTTTTTTTAGTTTTTGGAAAATAAATTCACGTTTTTGTTGCTACAGATCCGATTTTACTGTTTGCAAAACCGAGGGAGTGGAGCTTCACTCATGGCGAAAGCCGCGATGAGATCTCACGCTCCGGCGCTGTACTCGCTCGCCGTAGTTCAGTTCAACGGCAGCGGGGGCTCCAAGAAGGAGAAGGACCTGCGAGCCGGCGTAGCTCTCTGCGCTCGCGCCGCCTCGCTCGGCCACGTAGACGCGCTTCGAGAACTCGGCCATTGCCTCCAGGACGGTTACGGAGTCAAGCAAAACGTCTCCGAGGGACGCCGCTTGCTAGTCCAGGCCAACGCCCGGGAGCTTGCGTCCGTTTTACGCTCCGCCACGTGGCGGTCCCACCACTACCAGCACTTGTACGCGTGCCTCACGGGGCTGGTCAGCTGCCCGCTGCTTAGTGACTTCGGTTGTAACGTTCCGGCCCCGGAGCTCCACCCGGCGAACCGGTTTTTGAAAGAGTGGTTCGGGTCGGGTCGGGCAATTTCGGGGCAGGGGATGAGACTGTGCTCGCACGTGGGGTGCGGGAGGCCCGAGACGAGGCCGCACGAGTTTAGGAGGTGCTCAGTTTGTGGTACGGTGAATTATTGCTCACGTGGGTGTCAAGCGCTTGATTGGAAGCTGAGGCACAAAGTCAAGTGTAAGCCGATCGAACGGTGGCTGGGTGTTGATGGTGAGTTAGGGGGACTGGTGGAGGGTGGAGATGGTGAGAATGCGGCCGTTGGATAATGAATATTAATTATTAATAATAAAAAAAGGACAAGAAAAAAGAGAGAAATTTAATTAATTTGGGTGCGTTTGGTTTTCCTCTTTTTTCTTTTGGCAAATTACAGATGTACGATATACAGAACAGAAGGGGCAATATTTGCCTTTATTAGATATGAATTAATATTTATGTTGGGGCCTTTTGTTATAATGTCAAGTAGGTTGGGAGTGGGGCAAATTCGTATTTACAAATTTCAGACCCCAAAAATCATGCATGCATGACTTGGAAGAGTTGGTATTAAACATGCTAAAAACAGGGATCGCACCTGTAATTTGTGTTTGTTTGTCTAATTTATATTATTTTTAGTCTGCAATCTTAAAGAATTATACCTAATAAGATTGATTAGATTTCCAGACTTTTTTTAATTTTGTCCTAGACTTTAGTATTAGCCTAAATTGTCTTCTTGGTCAGGGGGAATCAATACGTGCATAGGGTATAAGAAATATAATCTTTATATATATAATAATGATAATAATCTTGTGCTTTATACTTGAAAATGTGATCTCTCACGCTCTCTCTCTCTCTCTCTCTCTCTCGTTTTTTACGGTGCAAGGAGCTTAGGAACGGGAAATTAATTGCTTTCCCATGTTTGGTAATTTCAAGCATAGGAAATCGCTATTTGGCACATGAGAAAGTAGGGAGGAAAGTGAAGCCCTCCTCCCAACTTGAATTTTGTTTTCTCTCATCATAGGAAAGTTTGGGAAAGTGAGCCAACATTAAATACAAATTTTGTCCCCATTTAGAATTACAATATATCATTAAATACATTCTTTTTATTTGATTTAATATTTGATATAATTGGAAAATTATACCAACTTTGTTTTCATTCATATTCAAAACAAACATAAAAAAGGAAATAAAGTGATATCTCCTGGTTACTTTCCCAACATTCCCAAATGTGAGAAATGAATCTTCCATTTCCTATCATTTGAAAAATGACTTTGAAAGTGATTTCCTCTCAAATCCGTTCCGTAAACTAAACATGACGTTTGTGTCCAAACTCCAAATCCAATAGTCTTGTGGGTACTACAAGTCTATATAGACAGTGGCAATAATAATTATTGGTGTGACAAGTTTTAGTGATGGCGGATGGTAATTAAGTCGCAAGTGGCAATAATGCATTTAATTCAGGAATAAATTGATTCTCCCTCTCTCTCTCTCTTTTTTTTTTTTTTAATAAAAATTTATAAGATTCTCCCTCTCTTGGTACGGCAGAAAGCTGTGGCGATGGGTCTGTTTGCCCACTTGTGCATTTCCCATAATCTTCTCTTCTTTTCTTTTGCGTTTTTCCCTTTTTGGTTAATGGAATAAATAGTTGCCACCGTATATCATTATATCTTAAGATTAAATGCTACATTTGTTTTTCGGAATCAAGTTTCATTAATAGAAAGGCAATGTCAATTACATGATAGTAAAACTCATAAAAATGAGTCCGAACAACTGCAATAGTAAAAGCCCACTAGAAATGAAATTTAGGGCCAGTTTGGCATTGCTGTGCTGTGAAAATAATCGCTGTTAGATTTGCTGTGAGAGAAATCAGCTGTAAGAGAAATCAGTTTGGCGTTTGGTAAAATTTTTGTTAAAAGTGTTGTTGATATTGATTTCAACAAAATCAGAAAATAATTGTTGCATAATCATTAAACCCAACGCCTCTTCGAAATTGATTTTTGCATAATCAGAAAATGACAGCACCGCATTAGCTGCTTTCCCTTATAGCTTTCTCTCACAGCAATTTTTAACAATAAGTGATTTTCTCACAGTTTACCAAACGGGTTGGGCTTCCCAAAATTTTTTAAAAATCACTTATCACCCCAAATAAGCAATGCCAAACGGGCACTTAAACATGCATAAAGTCTACAACTGACAGAAAGCTAGAGCCCAAAACTGACATAAAACTAGAGTCCAAAATTGGCATAAAGCCGGAGCCAACCAAAAGTAGAAACACCACCAAAAGCCAAAGTACCGTTGTCGTTGCCTCCATGAAGACCGAGATATCGCCACCATGACTAATGATGAGTGAAAAAACTGCAAACACACCAAAACACATCAAACAAATACAAAAACTACTAATCTAAAAATCCCCAGCACTACATAAACTGACCATCAAAGACTCATTAACTCCTTAAAAAATGAATTCACCAAAACACCAAGAATCCAAGAACAAATCCGGAAAAACACTTCCCAAAGTCAAAGAAACCGACATCCTAAGCAAGGAAGGAGGTGATTAAATGCTACATTTAGTCATGTAAAGACAGAAATCACTCAGGCGCATTTAGCAAATATTATGGCATCGCGGGTCGGGTCGAAGACTTGTAGTCCTACTAATTTCAATTTATAAGTTTGGACGTAGGAGGCACTATACTGCACGTATTGCGTATGCCTCTGCGGGTTGATACGGTTGAAAGCTATAGAATACGGAACTGCTAATTTCACTTTCATCGTGGGCCAACCAACCCAAGAGAAGTCTTCGAAGACTCTTCAATTCAATTTCATCATCATGAACCAACCAAACAGAAAAATTGGTATCGTCAAACCTTTTATGTTAAGGCATTTGAAATGCATGGTTATTATAATAATTTTGTAAATCTCCCACTTTTATTCAAACAAATTTATTTTCTTTCAGACGGGTGGAGTGTGTAATATTTTCTAGTAGAATTGTAAGAAATTACAAATATCATTTGAAAATGAGACTCATTGTATCGTGTATGGGTGTACAAATTGCACATGGCTACAATGATTAAATCAGATGTTGACAATTACTCCTATCAGAAGATAACAATGGGGTTTCTTGGTGTCGTGCGAATTCATAGAATTTAAGAAAGCACAAAAGCTTACAGTCAAACATGTAAGCAGACCAGAGTTTACAAGGGGAAAATATTACATGACTCAAGAGACAACAGCCTAATACTAGATGCATACACAACCAGGGGAAAGTTGTTAAGAGCAACAAACTCGGTTTGATCAGTTTATGGTAACAGACGATACAAACGATGAATTAGGCTTCGTATAAAATAAGAATCAAACTCTAGGGCTCCTCAAAATTGATCAAAATTTGGTTCATGCGTGGTTGATGTTTCCTGACCTGCAAATAAGACAGAAAATACAGATATCTGTTAAGGTCTCGGGCTCTTGTATAGCGTAAAAGGGAAAGTTCAAGCAATTCCTTGCAGGTTCACTCAATTGGATAACAATTTTTCACACAGCATGTCTATATGGACAAACACACCTGCATACGCATATTAGCATTGTAAAAGTAATGCATTAGCGAAACTATGGGACTGCTCATCTAAACAAGAAAATGTGAAGCTCAATAGATTACAAGCCTAATGGCTAATTCTTGAGGCTTCAGGAAAGCTTAAGCAAAATCAATTGAATTTGGGAGATGAGAGAACAGTACAACAAATGAACGATGCATACTTTCACACCAGCCAATGAAAGTAGTTTGTGAGAAGCAATGTAGGCAACATCTGGATTATTTAACCGCTTTTCCACAAAATATATAACTTCACAGACTCCTGACTGCAAGAAAGAAGGTGTTAGAAGAAAAAAATACCAGGTTAGAAAATGCAATGTGCCTGACTGAATACACAAAATGTAGTTGAAAAGCAATAACAAAAAATGGATTACAATATCTTTACATGCTCATTACTCACAAGCAAAATTTTGGATATTTCTATTACTTTAAGTGGGTTGGGGAGGGACTAGGGAGGGACGGGCTGGCAGGAGGTGGAAATGACACAAGTAAGGGCATGCCATCTTCATATATACTGTAAAACATAACCACAAGAACACATAGTAATAAACCTGAATGATTATTTTGGCACACTCGTTGCAGGGGAACATGGTCACATAAAGCCTCTGCAAAGAAATATAGAATAAACATTCCTTCAGTACTTTCAGTCAAAGTGGGAAAATTTAACAAAGTAACCAGGAAATATTGCCAACAATTATTTAAAACTTGAGATTCCATCTTAGAACTTGAGTTTATATAAGAAGCTTCAAAACATCTCAGTCCCAAGTGCCCCATGATGGTCTTTGGTCAAGTTGGTCAAGGACAACAACTTAGTCGACTTCACACAATACTACTAGGCCATGGGTAGCTATGGTTTAACTGGGCCAGCAGATTGACATAATACATTCATAGTAAATGAGACTTTGGAAGTGTAACAAACCTGTCCAGCAGCAGAAGCATGGTTGGTGTTTAGGATAGCATTGACTTCAGCATGACAAACATAACTGCAAAAGGTTAGAGAGATTATAAGCAACAACCAGAGTTCCGGATAGAATTCTATAAATCGGCATAAAGGATAAAGCAGTATATCAATGAAGCACAATAATAGGATATGATGTGATGGCTGTGGAAAGAATCAATTTGATTAGAGCACTAGAAAGAAGACAGACATTAAATGTCAACTTCAACATAATTTCAGATTTCATTCTTACGATAAACAGCAGACCACAAATCAGGAATAGAATTTAAGAAAGCACAAAAGCTTACGGATACTTTGTCTCCAAAGGATCCCCAGTTCTGGATTTCTGAATAATAAAAGAAAGATTCACTAATTAATGCTTACCATATGATCCTATAATCACTTTTTTTCTTTTCAAAATTTTATCAAATAGCATTACAAACCTTTGCCCAAGGAAGCTTGTCATCCGAACAACCTCTTGGGAACCCATTATACCCAATTCCTGAAGAACGAGAAATTACCCTGGAAGTCAAAGAGAGCTAAATGTGGAAAAATTCAATGTTCATAAAAATCGTAGACAATGTAAACCACAAAATAAGAACCATATGACCTCTGAACGTTACAATGTGAAGTAATTAACAATTCCATGTAGAATTCCTGTCAAATAATCTCATCCTCACCAAGAATTACACCATTTTCACTCACCAAGCATGCTCCAACCTATACGCCGGCAATACAAAACCATACCGCCAATCAATGTCAGTTCTAACTTACCAAGTTCTTATCAGACACAAATTAAAGCAATTCACAACACCTGTCATTGTTGTTACTCACAAGAATTATCTTATCCTCATTTACTTACAAATTCAATCAGCACACATACCCAAAAAGAGCAGAGAATATGACCTGCCTGTTAGGGTCTTTGGATCTTTCAGCTGATAAAAATGCAATTGCCATGAAATAATCATCCCATGACAAATATCTGCAACCAAAACCAAAAAATAACATCCAAAAATGAAACAAAACCAATATTAGGGTAACAGTATAACTGAAGAGTAAACATTTTTGTACAATGTGGTCACTAATTGCCACTGTATCTGGTACTGAAATAGAACAATCTGAGCAAAATGAAAGGGCTTTATAAACAACTGGCATTTTTTACACTAACCCTTTGCGTTTTGAGGGGTCAAATGGGCTCTGAGAAGAGTATTTCCTGGGGACGGCGCCGTTTTCTGACGAATCAAGCTTGGGAGACTGCTTTTTAGGGTTTGAAAGTAAGAAGCGGCAAGCGAGCGCAGAGGCCAAGGCACCGAAAACAGTGGCCGTGGAGACCAGAGCGAGCTCGCGAGAGTTCATTGAGCTGAAAAGGGAGAAGCTTTGGGGGCACTGCACTGTCACTTTCCCGATAAAATTTCCAGCTTCGAGCTAAGGTGGTAGAAGAAATAGCGGGAAAATTGGATGGAGAATTGGTAAGTTCGTGTGTGTTTTTTTTTATTATTATTATTATTATTTTTGGAGAAAGGAAGTTTTGTTTAGAAATAAAGCCCAATCCAATGGTCCCTTCTTTTTGGTGGTGGGCTAAATCTAAGCCCAATCTATCAGCCCATATAACAGAAATTCTTCAATAAGGAAGGTGAAAAAGTGATGTGAAAATTTTCGATATTCGGAGAAGAGGGATTCGATTAGAGATCTCGGATATAGTGGTAAGAGTTGTGCAACGTGTGTGGATGAATTCTGACCGTCGTTCGTGTGCGCACATACAACTAATCTTAGTAAAAATCACAAGTATAAATACTTTTAACATCTCAATTATAATGTAACCCGATCATGTGTATGTGCATTCAAGTTCGAGAGACTACCTATCGTTGTTACTTGTGATTTGTTCAAGTGTAGGTCCTCGAGGGAGGACTTTAAATCGCCATTATCTCCCCTAGGACAACTTTATGGTTGATATACATGATAGAGGTGAGGAGGAGGAAATCAAAAGAAGAAAATTGATGAAAGTCTTAGTTGGAGACCATGATAAATAAATCATTGTCCTAAAGTTGAGTGACCTCCATCACTACCTCAAATGAGGTGGGTTTATTTGGGCAGATCAAAAAAGCTGATAATATTAAAGCCTTCCCCAATTCCCGAACTTTCACATGCACCTTGCCCACCCAAAAACCTACAACTTTTTCCTTTAAAGTAAAACCTTTCACAAAATTTTTATGGCAGCATCTTAGAGACAGAGAGATACCAACAACCTAAGTTTCTGGGGCCTTTCCTTGGTGGGACTATGATGTCCTTGATCCGATTTACATGCGTAAGCAAAAAAATGTATACTTACCAGCAAGCATTATTTGAGAAAATACTCTTCCACATGAAGTATCAACACACCCAAAATTTTTAGAAAAATAAAGATTTAATTAGTTTGTTTTAGCCGATTTTTATCCACAAAAACAGAAAAAACGATTCACTTAAATTGGTAGATTGAACTAGATTATTTGATTGATCAATTTCAATAAACTTTTGAAGACTCCTAACTTGTATCCTCTTGTTCCTATTTAAAAAAAGTTGTATTGTCATTTTATGTGTCAACTTTATGCAATTTGTGGCTCCGTCATTGAAATATTTGTTCATTTTTTTCTTTTACTTATTGGAAGAATTTTTTTGGTAGCAAACATTTGTGATCATCCATTTGTCTCCTTCAAATGGCATGTTGTAGTACAATGACGTGCTTAAAATAGCTTTGGTGTAATAGTAGGCAAATGGAATATTTTATGATAAGTAGAGAAGTTTTGCAGATTAGAGCAATCAAGTTGAGATGGCCGAGTTGGTCTAAGGCGCCAGATTAAGGTTCTGGTCCGAAAGGGCGTGGGTTCAAATCCCACTCTCAACATTCATTTTACTTTTTTTTTGTCTTTGTTTTGTTATTATTTTTTCTTGACAATAAGAAAACGATAGAAAAACACACACTACGAAAAACCCAAAATAAAAACCAAAAACAATATAACAAAGTTTTATTATATATATATTTTTTGTCAAAATCAAGAAGCTGAGGGAAAAACTCACAAACACGAATATCATGGACATTTGAACTTAAGACCACTTAAGAGCACGGGCCTTGAGCCAACTATTACCTAAAAGAACAAACCAAAAGGGTGTGGGTTCAAATCCCACTCTCAACATTCATTTCACTTTTTTTTTGTCTTTGTTTTGTTATTATTTTTTCTTGACAATAAGAAAACGATAGAAAAACACACACTACGAAAAACCCAAAATAAAAACAAAAAACAATATAACAAAGTTTTATTATATATATATTTTTTGTCAAAATCAAGAAGCTGAGAAAAAAACTCACAAACACGAATATTATGGACGTTTGAACTCATGACCACTTAAGAGCACGGGCTTGCGCCAACTATTACCTAAAAGAACAAAGAAAAAAATCCAAAATGATACAGGAGTAGAATAGATAGCAGCAGGGAGCAAGTTTTGTTTGCTCAACTACAAGCCCAAGATTATCTGATGAACCTCCCAATCAATCACATGATGTTAGATGAAGAAAGGTGAGCGAGATGGGACCAGTGATCGGACGGTCCAAGTGGCAGAGTCAGAGAGCCAATCATGGTCAGCCCCACACTTTCACTTGGCTGTGTGTGTGCCCCTCCCACGTGCCAATCTGCCTGAAGGCGTGAGCTGCTGCTGAGATAGAAAAGTGGGTCGCTTTTTTGTACAAGAGGGCCGACAACCTTAGGCCTACCATAAAGCTAAAATCCATGCTTAAAAAAAAATAAAAAAAAGCCCACAACATAAGCTAAAAACCCCCCAGCGCACGTGCGACTGTAATTATTACGCACCCTTTCAAATCCTCATCTCCCCAAAAAAGAAAAAGTCAAAGAAATTTAATTATGAGAAAAGGAGAAAAAGAGTCCACATGAACACAAAAAAGGCCACTCATAGCCCAATAACGTGATCCGTTATTTTTACTAGCCTGTGGCTCTTCTTTAAACGGACGCAGTTGAAATCTAACAATATGATTTTACCAAAATACCCTTATCCTTAAGGAGGAGGCAAGTCCTTTTTCATTAAGTCATGGTTTAGAATGACGCTGACTTACCATATATTGATATGTTATGTTATTAGATTGTCAATCAGAATCTAGTATATTATGAATTGGTACGACAAATAAATTATAGTCAAAATTTGTTTTGTAACATAGGAAATATGCAGAGATCATATGTCCTCAATTATCTCAATCGTCAATCATCATGCTTTGTTTGTTACTTTGACCTTTATTTATTCGTTTGGTTATTTTCCTTGATTGGACAATTCCTTCAACTTCTCCCTGGATTGGTTTTTTTGATTTTCTAGATTACCTTTCTTAGTTTCATTGACCCTTTAAATAATCCCCGAATTATTCCAAATTATCTCAGAATTAGCACTATACAAGGGTACAATGGTAATTTGGGCATGTTTGAGTTGTATATATGTAGCCACAAGTTTTTGGCATCTCACACAAGCTATTGCATCAGTCAGCACACCACCTTAGTCACTTCCTCTGTACTCATCAAACCTTTCATTTGCTTCCTTTAAAAATAAAATAAAAATCCAATGGAAGGAGATGATCAAAAGGAGTTGCAGCTGCTTCCTTCTCCTCACCTGATGACCTCTTCTTCATCACAGAGGACATCTCGACCGTCGGATTCATCGATAAGATATCACCGGTCATCGAAGGCAGCGGTGCAGGATGCATTATTGGAAGGGCCTAATTCCCTTGACCTGCAACTGTCAATCAGTGTGAGGCCAATAAGGGCAGCTTCTTCCTCAGATCATTGTGTTGTGTCAAAACCAGTCTGTGATTTTGATGTCTTGAAGCCCAAGACAGCTGGTTGTGTGGAGGCCTTGAAATGGCAAGCAGCTGAGCAAATCAGATTGGCTGCAATGGAAAAGGCCTATGCAGAGAGAGTGAGGGAGCTGACACGGAGAGAGATGGAATTGGCTCAGTCAGAGTTCACACGTGCAAGGCACATGTGGGAGAGGGCTAGAGAAGAAGTGGAGAAAGCTGAGAGAATGAAGGAGAAGGCAATGCTTCAGATGGACTCTACGTGCATGGAGATCACTTGCCAGTCTTGCAGACAAAGGTTTAGGCCTTGAAAAAGGGTCCGTTTGGTTCGCGGATTCAAACAAGATTTTTGTGTATTTCATTCCTCATACTTGAGTATTGGATTGCTGATGAGATTCTTCCTCCATCAAAAACACAAAGAAAATAATGAAATATATTTGATGGATATAATAAAATGTGTGGCATGAGATTTGAACTCAATTTGTGATCTGTGTGAGATATGAATATGTAATGAGCTTCTGCTTGGTTTATCTGAGAGACTCAAACCAGAAGAATACATATGCTGCCACTAAATTTAGCTTATGCATGTTTATGTTTGTCTTCCAACTCTGTCAAGCTTGAATCTCAATTTTGTATTTTGCGTAGACAACTTGCAGGTTATAAACATGAAGCCCCAAAAATCCCAGATTGATCATAAGAATCAAATCATGCTTGTGATGGTCTAATATAACTTTCAGTTGGCTTGGCAACAAGTCTTCTGGTGTGTTGACTTACTGATAATAATCAATTAATCATATGTTAAGGAACACTAATTAGAATTTTAAGCTAATTGTATTTCACTGAGTCATTATGACACGAGATTGGGCAAGATTGCATGGAATTCAGAGCAAAGAAAAAGTATGCTAGCTCTGTGATTATTTCTGAGCATATTCAGTCATGGACTTAGTAGCAGTTTCTGAGCATATACAACAACAAGTTAGCGTGTTGGGTTTTGGTGGAATAATATATGACACATTGAGGGTACAAGTTACAACTCAGGACTTTTATGAGCAATAATTATGAGTGGTGATTTCCCCACTCCATTAAACAAAGAGCACTATACATACAGTTCTTCTCCTATATGCAGACGTCCGTTATTACTGTGCGGATGCCATTGTAAATAGGGAGGGAAGTATGGAGAGATGGTAGAAAATACATGGCGTATCCCTAGTCCTGGATTTAAGCTAAGTGTGCAAAGATTACAAATTTCTTAACCTCTATTGAAAACCCAAGTGAAGACAGCTTTGGGGTTATGGAATGGTCAAATCTGACGTAAAAAGGGTCAAGTTCAGAACCTTGATGTCGATATAGAAAGGCAAATGAATCAGAACAAAAAGGCAACCAATTTCACCAGCAACAAGACATTGTAGCTGGACATCCACTTGTTTTCAACTTCTTAACTTTTGTTCATGAAACCAAACACCCACTACCCATGTCTCCGATCCAACACAAAAAGAAACAATTTTTGGATAGGGAGATCATGACCTCTCTCACCAAAAGCTTCTTCAACAACAAAAGCTCAGCTTCATCTGTCAGCAACTTCAACAGATACAATTTAATCAGCCAAAGACATGTATAAATATAAATATATATTTATATATCAACAGGTGCCTACAATAATGCACTGGCTTTTGATTCTTGATGAGGTGAGAGAGCAAGAGCTAGCTAGGCACATTTTAGTGGGCACAAAGAATCACAGAGTCTCAAAATTTGGTGGTTCTGAAAAGTGCAAGGAAGGCATGGGAAGAAAAAAAAAGAAGAAAAAAAAGGGGTAATCTAGATTTGGCTAATTATTTCAAGCCTGATCTTTTATTTGGTTTTCAGAATCTTCTTAAGTGAAGAATCTGATCTAGGATCTGACAGAACACAACCCTTTTGCACTTCTTAACCATTTGGGTTTATTGCTTAAGCTCCCCTATCTCTATATCCGAACATAATTTCACTAAGACAATTATACCATCACTACCCTACCCTATCATTGAGAGAAACTCTCATGCAACGGGGATAACATTTTTTGCTATTCATGATCAATAACATAATGACACGTCGACGTGTCATTATGTTATTGGCCAGGGATAGCAAAACAGTGATATCCCCATTACAAGTAAGATTTTTTTTCCTTTCACTTGTTCACTGTTTGTCCTTTGAAGGAAAAAAAAAAGAAGAAAAAAGATTCCTCTGGGATAAAGTTCTGTTTGCATTGAAGAACCTAAAACAGTCTTTTCTTTTGTGGGTATGAGCATGTCCTAGTGCTAGTGGTTTCATTATCATCCATTTTTATAAAAAAAAAAAAAAAAAAATTCCTTTGCTAGTTTCTATATTTACTCTTGTGAAAAGTATCAAAATGCAAAGAAAGATACCAATTAAAGAATTGAATGTACTTGTCCTATAGGAACCCAACAGTTGTTATCATGAGATGCTCTGTGCTGAAAAGTTGGATACCAATGATGGAAGTTCATGGCTCTCATCTTCAGGGCATAAGTTAACAAAAAAGAAATGCCTACCATGGCCATGGTGGAGCCTAATTGATTTAATACATCATGTAATAGTTAACATTTTGATGATATTATTTTTAGGTACCCTGACAAATGACCACCTACATTATGGGTGATGCCTTGTCTTGGATCTCTTATCTGCAGTACCATCAAGGAAATACCAAATACTACCAAATACCAGGGCCATCAATTCTTTGAGAAATTTGAAGAACAAGGATAAAAGATGTAGGGTATGATGCTTGTTGAACCATCAAACTGGCCATTATGACATAACCTTAACATTTGTCTTTTCATATTGTCCACATATGATGGTCTCTTGATGCCCTCTCTTATTTCTGTGCAGTATGATATGTTCAATCACAACCCTAAAACAAACTTACTCTTATCCCATTACTGTTCTGTGGAGGATTTTGTAGCCACCACGCCCACGACATGACACGACACGACAGTTTTTTTTATTTAGTGTAGAGTTCGAAAGAGACGTAACACGCATCAACGATTGTCAATCGCTTATTATACGAGCGCGTCGACGACTAACTCAATTGTTAAAATGCATCGATGTAGAGTTTCTTGTTTACGACAAGGAAATCTTTTGCCGATTTCCCACAGACGAGCAAATAGGGAACTTATCAGAACAAAATGGACTTCACATTTGTACATGTGATAATTTTTGTACTGAGTTACACAGATCGTGCAGTATATTATGGTGCACAGAATTGACTGTTTTTATTTATTTATTTATATATTTATGATGTGCAGAAGAAGTGAATCAAAATCAAATTCAGAACCAACCATTATTTGTTTAACTGAGAGTTTGCAAAAGATTTGGCAGGGTGTGGTTTGGAGGTACACTTTTTGCAACAAAGAGGAGACAAGATAGGGTGGAGTTCATAGTCACATGCAGCATTTCCATTTCATTTCAGTTGGCTTCTAGGATTTGTGGCATAAATATACAGAGAGAAATCTGTGAGTGTGAGTTTTCCAAAAACAATCAGATTTCTTACATCTCTTTAATAGGTTAACAAAAGAGAAATATACATTGAATTCAACAAGATTGTTCAGTCAAGTCATCTCCAGAGACCAATCAAGAAAAAAGGCAGCTAACTTTTGAAGGTGGGGAAAGTTTTGAGATGATCATGTGGTGATGGTGGGGTTCAAATTGTTGCAGTCACACCATGTGGAAATGTGAATCACAAACCATAGCATCTGAACTGGACTGTTCATATACCCTACCAGAGAAATCTGAAAAATTTCTTACCAGGCAGTAACAGAAGGATGCAGTCAAAAGCAATTTGATGAGACAATGTGTTTTACAGCAATAAGCTGGAAATTTTACTTGAAGTTGCGCAGAGGCGAAAATGAGCTTTGCAAAGTGTGTGACAGCTCTTGAGCTTTAAAAGTTTGGCATTAATCTGAACAGGAATTCTTTGTAACAAAGGACCGACGTGCATCGATATTGTTGATAACATGTTAGTACGTTTTGTTATTTCACAGTGAACATTTAAGAAGTCTCATTTATCATATAAGCTTCAAGCTTCAACCTTTGTTTAGTGAAAGTTTTTTTGGGGTCGATAAGTGAAGTCACAGTTAAGCCTTTAAACAGTTGGAGTTGGACCAAAAAAAATTAAGGAACAAATTACGGACCCGTTACTTCAGATAGCGTTTTCTATCACGGCTTCACTGTAGCAAGCTTTGCTGAGATCGTTTGGAACAAAAAGAGGAAACGCAAAAGCAGGTAGTGGCTGTTATAGGTTTGCCTCCAAATTCCAAACAAATAGAGGGAGAGAGAGAAGCTGTGTCCATACGACAGTGGAGGAGGGACGATCACAGGTACCCTAACCCTAAAACAAAACCAATCGAAAGATGCCGGAGAAGAAGAATAAGAAGAGGTACGAATTCGAGTACTGCGTGGTTTGCAAGCTGAATCACGACCAAGGCCCGAGCCACAAGTACATACCGAGCCATACCAAGTCCCTCTCTACCTTCCTCTCTCGGTTCCAGGACAAGCTCACCGACGTCCGCTTCTTTCTCAAAAACCCTACCCCTCTCCGCCCCGAACTCGCCTCTCGCAATCGCCTCTGGTGCGTCTTCTGCGACACCGACATTGACGAGCTAGATAGCTCCTTCGCTTGGTAAGATTTCTATCACCATGCTTGAATTAGATTTTCAACTTCTGTTTGTTTGCTGAGAAAATAAAGGAAAATAATGGAACATGTGCAGAATTGCTGTGCAATATGTATTATTTAGAGCTACAAAATCGTGCATTGTGATATATATGACGTTGGCCTTACACTTTATTGGTGTTCTTGATTATCAGTAGTAATGCAATTAATCACCTTGCAAGTGCGGAACATCTGAAGAATTTGAAGCATTTTTTGTGGAAATACGGTGGAGGAATGGATCGCCTTGATACATTTAGAATATCGGAAGATGACCTTGCTATGGTATGTTTATATAGTATATATGCTTTCAGTTTCATTCATCATTTATGTCATATGAGGCAGTGAGAGTAAACAGAAAGATTGTAGAATTCTATGGATTTGTGTTTTCATGTGATTTGTTGAAGAAAGATGGTAGAATAATGAATCTTATAGTTCCAAAGAAGACAGTAAATAGAAATTCAAGTCAGTTTTTAGAGTTGAGTCATTAACGTATGGTTATTATCCCTTTGTGGCTGCAGTGGGAGAAGAAGTGCAAATCATTGAAGAGTGAAGCTCTGCCCAGCGGGGAAAAATCTCGAGGACCAACGTTTGGACCTTCAAATGATATCCATAATGAACTGAAATATGGAATTATAGATACTTTTGAAAATAATAGTAATTCAAGTTTTTCAAATGGAGTTATGCCTTTACTATATCATACAAATGAGTATCAGGTATCCCATTCAGGACCCCCTCAAGTTACAAATGTTGGCTGCTTTCCTCAAGACGTGGCTACCTCTTCTTTACACGGGGAAACATGTTCTGGTACATATTCCATAAATTCAAAAGGTTTAACCGGTATGCATGTTCTGTTTATATGATATTTGTATCCATTTGGTTTGTATTTCATAGAAGTTGCTCCCCTGTAGTTAAAAGGCTTATGCTAGTTTTATGATTTCTGCTGTCTGCTTATATCATGACTCAAGGCTTATGCTAGTTTTATGATTTCTGCTGTCTGCTTATATCATGACTCAAGGCTTATGCTAGTTTTATGATTTCTGCTGTCTGCTTATATCATGACTCAAGGCTTATGCTAGTTTTATGATTTCTGCTGTCTGCTTATATCATGACTCAAGGCTTATGCTAGTTTTATGATTTCTGCTGTCTGCTTATATCATGACTCAAGGCTTATGCTAGTTTTATGATTTCTGCTGTCTGCTTATATCATGACTCAAGGCTTATGCTAGTTTTATGATTTCTGCTGTCTGCTTATATCATGACTCAAGGCTTATGCTAGTTTTATGATTTCTGCTGTCTGCTTATATCATGACTCAAGGCTTATGCTAGTTTTATGATTTCTGCTGTCTGCTTATATCATGACAAAAGGCTTATGCTAGTTTTATGATTTCTGCTGTCTGCTTATATCATGACTCAAGGCTTATGCTAGTTTTATGATTTCTGCTGTCTGCTTATATCATGACTCAGTTAGCAGCAGTACCCAACATTCTTTTATTTCTAATGGTAGAAAGTGCTCAGCTGATGGTTATTTCAGTAATGAAAGGGTAAGTTTGGTCATATACGCTCTTCACTAAAAGCATCCGTTTCTTGTGGTTGTACTTATATGGTTGGCTATAACATTGGAAAATTCCAAATATGTAATTCGTTTGGTGTAGATGAGCAAGGTGTATCAGCATGAAAGAATGACAAAAGGACAGAGCAGTTCTCCGGGTATTCACCTTTGATTTTTTTGATGTTCTTATTCTCTATGCTCCTATTAAGCTGATCATACTGATGCCAAATGTATACATCATTTGAGAAGTGAGCCATCTGTTCTTAGGAATTGCAGAAAAATTTATATACATCTGTCTCGATTCAATGTCTTAGCGCAGGAGGTTGATAGAGTTATGATTTATTCATTATAGCTGTGCATCCTCATTTAAGGTTCTTTTCTTCAGGTTTTCAGAATCTCACACAAATATCTTCCACGGGTTCGAAAGAGGCTAGTGGAAATGTGCATTCTGGGGCACCTCCTCCTTGGCTTGAAGCAGATGAAGAAATTCAGTTTACTGTTCCACTGAAACCAGCTTCAGGTACCCTTATCTCTCCGCCAAATAAGTCGGGGAAGTCCAAGAAATTGAACCCAAAACGAGTGGGAGCAGCTTGGGCAGAAAGAAGAAAGAGGGAGATGGAGATGGAGAAAAGAGGGGAGATTGTCAAGAGTGACTGTGATGCTAATTGGCTCCCTAATTTTGGTAGAGTGTGGCAATCTGGTAGCCGAAAAGAGTCCAGAAAAGAATTTGAGTTGGAGAAACAAAAATTACCTAAGGAGGTTGAAAGTGAATCTGAGATGCCAATTAAGATACAGCCTTACGTCAGCAAACGGATGGTGAGTTCCATGTTCCCTCTTACTATGTCAGTTTGTTGTAGATTTCAAGATTTTTAAAGCTAGTTATAATAGATGGAAAAATGTCTTTATTTAATGTTGTGATACAACATGCATGGTTCTCAATACACGGATGCTATGACAGTCCCGTTTGAATTTCACTAGACCATGCAGCAAACTGATGTGAGGCTTTCATTTTATTGTTTTTGTAAATAAAATCCATAAAACTTATGCAGACACATTTCAAGAATTACCAAGGCTTAGGCATTTTTTATTGTGCCCCTCTCCATGCAGCGAACAAATGAGAGTGAATGATTGTGCCATGATGGTTATGCAAGTTGATGATAGCTCTGATGACAGACATGGAAGAGATCAAATTGAGCTGGAACTTTGAAGGAAGGCAGGAAGCAAACATGTGAAACTCTGCCCAAAATTTGGTGATCAGTTTTTAGGCTGGTGTACAAAATAGAGTTGTAAGTTCAAATGATCATGGCACTCAAATGTATTCAACTTGAATTTTTCTCCATCAAATATATTCAACTTGAAACTTTATCCCCATATCTTATGCATGTGGCAAATGAGATCTTTTGGTGACATCAAGGGTTAGATCCATCAATAATTAGTTCATGTTGAAACACTGTCAATAGTCAGGAATTTCTTTAACTGCAAAAACTATGTCAGCTATGACTATGACACCATTAATAGAATTGAGACATTTCGGCCCAAAAAGAAAAAGAAAAAGTAAAAAGAATTGACATTGTTAGGCACTGGATATTTGCCCGCAAATAATGATTCTTATTTACAAAGAAAATAAAGTGGAAGAAGTGATGGGAATCTTTTTTACAAGGACTCTGTACCCCAGGAGAAAGAAAAAGAGCTCCTACTCTATTTTTGTGGGTGCAATCTCACAATTTGAAATAACTGTCTTTCTGTCTGCCATTTTGAGCTGGTTCAGGAAGAACTGTATGGCATCCGGTTTTCCTACTTTTACCATTGCTCTATTGAAAATATCAATAATGAAAGGAGCTTGTTCTTTCTACTTTCACCTCATGGGGGAAAAATAAAAATAATAGTAAAAATAGAAGCTATTATATTACTCTATCGTAATGGCTTTGGCAGGGCAAAAATTTGTAGAGTTTGATTGGCCTGTGATCCTAAAGTTCCATAATCTCCCTTTCGAAGAAACTAAGTTCTCATCACACAGAAACTCCCAGGAAAACCACTTCTCAATCATTCGATCTACATCATGCACTACCACATCTGTAATATTCCCATTTCTTGCCATCATACTAGCAGTATAGATTGCTGCCATCCTACCCGGTTCGTCTGGTGTACTGCCGCTTGGTCCGTCCACCACCACCAAATCCCATTTAAGCTCATAAACTTCTTGTGGTAAGTTTTTCAATGCAAGTTGACATTTTGATAGTTGGAGTTTTGAGCTAGGTGCACAATCTGGGTTTTCCCTTGCATGCTTGAGCAGTTTGTAAGCCTCTTTTGCAGGTATCTGGTAGTCCACCTGGTAGACTCTGGTGGTGTTGGAATTAGTCTTCAGTTTGCTTATCTTGTTGTGATCGTCCTCTAGAAAGATGGTGGTGCCACCTGCATTGATTGAGGAGAGAGATACATACTGAGGTTCAAGCCCAAAAATGAGGAGGTTGCAAGGAGCTTTCTGAGAAATGAGATTTGACAGAAGGTGGTATTCCTTTTCCCTGAGGCCGATGATGTTGGCAGACGCATTTTTGTCTGATGGAAACTTCGAGCATGTGGAGAGAGGAGAACATGCATCTCCAAGAGCAGTAGGAGGCAAGGCAGTCAAGGCAGGAAATGGAGGGGAAGAAGATGAAGTTGTTACTGCAATTCTAACAAGTCTGAGTACAGAAATAATTGAAAGGATCAAAACAAGGAAAGGGATGAGTTTCTTTCTGCTAAAGTTCATGTTTTTAGATCCTCTGCAGTGCTTGTGCTGATAAGGTTGATCTAGTTGTGCCTTAGGTGACACCGGGGAAGAGAATCGAACTTGAGGAGTTACAGGAGAGCGAAAATGAGGCACTTCTGGGGGCATTTTTTGGTGTTTCTCTTCGCTTTCAGGACCTCCACAGCCAGCCACTATCATATCTTCATTGTAGGGAGATGTGGTGGGGCTCTTGATAATAGAAGCTGTTATGCTGAAAGTCTACTTGGTTGTGTCTTCTTGAGTGAGGAAGAAGGAAGGCTTTGCTTTTGTTCAAAGCGTTGCTTTTCTTATATCCAGGTGTTTGTTTGTTATTGCATTTCGAGATCGATCTGCTTTTTGCTTACCTAAGAAAAAGAATAACAACAATAAAGGGTTGGTGTTCCAATAATTTCTTCACAACTTTATAAAGAAAATTATTTTTTTAAAAGAAAAAAATACTCTAAACTTTCACTGTTGGATTGTTTGGTAGTTATGAGTGAAGTTGAAGAAGGTTAGCTATGACCAAAAAAAAAGTTGAAGAAGGTTAGCTAATGTGTGGTTGCTGGGCCACTTTCAAGCTTCAATCATGTGACCTTTTTGTTAGTTATATAATATTCCCCGTTTGATTGCTGGTTTTGATGGCTAGTAGACATTGATGTTTAAGGTTTTTGCATGCCAAATGATTTGCTGTTTTACAATCCTTTTTGGGGCAGCAATTTTTCTTTAGGGAACTATATTATATAATTAAACTCCCCATAAGATATAGGAAACATCCAATGAATCAAATGTGCCCCTCAATTTGGAAAAGTAGTCACAAAAATGAAGCTCAAGGGGATCAAATTCGGTGTTCTTGACCCAGCCCCATCAAATTCGAACATTAAACCCTAGTCGGAAACCTAGAAAAGAGGTCGGTCGGGGAACAGGGTTGCCTCGTTTCGGGGTTATATTGTTGAATGTTTTTTCAAAAGAACAAATAAAACTTCGGTTAAAAGCGGCATATGGATGAGGGAATGAGGTCTCAATTATGGAAAACTAAACAAGTTGATGTATCACAGTTTTACATATGTTTCTTCTCAAGAGGCAAAAAGAAGCATCATGGTTTTACAGAACTAAGGCAAAGAAGAGCCCAACCAAATGAGAAGTAAACTAAAATACTATTGCTTTCTCTTTGAGTACAAGTTGCTGCCTGCCTCCATGATCTAGTCAACTCAGAACCTTAAGCCTGAACTGAAACCAGATTGGACAAATAAAATAAATCAGTCCCAAATTACACCATATTAATCTAGAAAATCTGTCTAAAAAAAACCATCATCTAATGGAGTGGGAGTATCACCGGCTGACGTGGTGATACAGTACCACTCTATAATTTCTCCACCCAATGACACTAAAAGCAGCAAAATTACACAAATCAATAAACCCACTAAACATGTAACTAAGAAAGAAAAAAAATGAAGTTCGTGAGATAACAAGTTTGGTTAGATTTATAATATCTGAGTAGGCTGTTCTGGGTTTCATATCCAACTTCTATATACAGCAATATCAACAAAGTAAAATCAGCTAAATTCTCAACCAAACCACAAGCATGCCAATTAAAGCCACTAAATTTAAACTTAAATGCATAAATTTGATCAGACGGAAATTGAGATGTAATTGAATGAATACCTAAACAGAGCCGACGATGATGTTGTTGATGGGGATGAAGACCAGCTTCACGAAAAACCCAACGAATCCCATTGCTACGAACCCGATGGCTGTACGGATCGCCACCTTCGTGAACTCTGCACCGAAATCAACCATCAAGTAAACATAAATTAGAGAATTACAATCCCCAATTTTTGTTAAAATTTGATCCAGAAAACACAGATCCGAATGTTATGTGTACATTCTTAATTGGTTACCTTTGCGATCAGGCTTGTGGCACCTCTTCACCAGTCGAGTGCTTTCCTTTGCGAACACTCTGAGAGGATCGACGACTGAGTCTATGGCTTCCATTTTCTCTGAAGACCAAATTGAGAAACACAGCGAGAGAGAGAGAGAGAGAGAGAAGAGAAGTGTATGAGAAAAGGAAACGAGTAGTTAGGCGCGTTTGGACTTTTAACTAACAGGCGGATTTTTCAGACCAAAAGAGGAAAAAAAAACTAACGAGAGGAATTTATTTATTTTTGTCAGCGTTTAGGCATTCTCCAACCCAATTTGGTCATCTCAAATTTCCCTCCTCCAAAAAATAACTATTCGATTTTGCCCGGATTTAAACTGTTTTTTTCCCCAACCCTTCATACTCAAATTTTAAGTCTATAACTTTATTAAATTGTTTAAAAATGATTTAAATCTAATTTTTTTAATGGGTAACTTTTCTTCATTTAATCTTTTTAAATAACTTTATAATTTGATTTTTTTGAACATATTGACCTAAAAAAATTGAAATTCCAAAAATATAATTTTATTTGAGAAATAGGTTGGTATTTATAAAGTTTAGAGTGAGTTTTGAGGATGGATTTAAAGTTCAGCCATTCGATCTTTTTTTATAGCATTAAAATAGCTTGGATTTAATATAAATAGTTGATTTGGGTTACTGTTGGAATTTTTTAAAAAAGTTCTTTGAATTGTGCCGTTGACAACATCATCAGCTTCTGACACTTGGTGTGACAGCATCTGCAGCATAGTAGCCACGGGCCTTCCTTGCATGTGGGCTGCGTCATGGCTCAATGGGCTTCACAAAAAAATAAATTCATGTCCAGGCAATAGCTGGACTGGTATTCCGCCATACTTTTGGGTTTTCCCAAATTTTAGTCCCTTATTTTTTTCGAGTTGGGAGAAAAATTGGGCTAGAATTTAGGATTTTTTGAGTTTGGCCTGTTGGGTTGGAGATGGCCTTAAGAAGGGGAGGGAGGAAAACTCATGTTGAGGCCCAAAAAATCCAAGGTTGGGCCCAAAAATATTCTTAACCCAGTGCGATACCTTATTGTAGGGATGGCAAAAATCCCCGCGGGGGCGAGTCCCCGTCGGGTCCCCAACTCTAACGGGGGGAGATTTCGGGGCCAAACGAGTATTGGGTACGGAGATCCCCGAACTTGAAAAATCCCCGATGGGTATGGGGAGGGTATGGTATTGGCGTCCCCATCCCTGAACCTGACCGGAAAATATATATGTTTATATTTATATATATATAATTATAATATTTATGTTTAACCCTAAGTTAACCTCCCTTTCCTAATTCTTCCTAATCTTCTCTAGATTTTCATATTGATGTGATTTAAAATAGTTGAGTTGAACTTTATAGTTAATTTGAATGTGTTGAATGATAATTTAATATGAAATTTGATGTAAAAATGTATGACAAATATTTTTTATGCAAAAAAAATCGGGGATTTGGGGCGGGTATAGGGAATAGTCCCCCGACGGGGACGGGGATGGGGATTCCCCGAAACCTATTAAACGGGGATTGGTTCGGGGATGGGGGCGGGGATGGAGAGCGGGGACGGGGATGGTATTGTCATACCCGGCCCCTACCCGGCCCGTTGCCATCCCTACCTTATTGAGAAAAAACCTGATTGAAGCACATAAAAGTTCGTCATATGCACTTACACACGTGCCACGCCATGCTACAAGCTTAAGTGGGCCCAAGCCACATGAATGTCCGAGGCTTGCTGAGAAGGTTGTGGTATAGATGGTTACAAGTATTCACAAGGCCCATTGAAGGTTCAAGGGATAGAAGTTTTTGGGCTGCCTGGGAGCATGAAAACTCAGGCCTATTCCTTGAGCCCGAACACATGGGTAAGCAATAGAGAGAGAGAAGAGGTGGCCTAATGCCTTAGAAGAATATTTAAGGGTCTGCAACACTTAGGAAAGCCCCATATCAGTTAAAGCATCTAGCACATCGTCAAAAGGTAAAGCAAATAAGCCATTTCCAGTAGGCTAACGAAACCTTAGCTTACTGTTGGAAGTAGGAAGCCAACGATACAATGCCTTAGGAAAAGCCCAGCCCAGTACTTAATAAAATATCTAGCATCGAGTTTAGCCATTGTCAAAGCTCCATAACCAAGTCAAACAGAGGTCATTGCAAAAACCAACGGAAATCCATAGGACAAGAGGAATACCCATTGGACAAACGACTCCATTCATTCTCTTTTTCCTTTGCGAGCTCTAATTTGAAAATCAAGGAAGAAAGCAGGTGGTGCCTCACCCCCATGGGGAGGTCCAGCTGCATAGAAAACATTGGAACTCCAAAGACCCTGTGACCCATGTGCTTTGGTTCAAGAGATTTCACCAAAAAGGAGTGAATGGAAAGAAGCAAAGGAAAAGTAGGAATGGAGGATCGATAGAATTAGGGTTCTAAGCGCCTATAAAAGGGAGCTTTCTCTACCCAGCAAAACCCATCATCCAGAGTGCGACCAAGCTTTGTCAAGCGGCTGGGAATTTACTCAAGACACCTCACTCTCTATTTCCATCTCTCCCTCTCTTCCTTAGTCAAAATCCCTTCAAGTCTCTCTCCCCCTGGCCCTGAACATTCGTTTCCATAAGAAATTCAAGCTTTTGTCTCTCTCTCAAATTGCTAAACTTGTGAAGGCTTAGCTCCCATGCCACAAGCTTCTCAAGCCAAGCCATACTGTCACTAATTTTGTCACATTCGTTTGGTGTATTGGTGGAAAGAATCCAATGTGTTTTCTAAGGTTGTCACTACTTCTTTCAAAACTCTCTTGGAGCCCGGTCTTCAAACTCAGAAACAGGGGCAATCTCATCTGTTCATCCTTTAGAGCAGCCCAAGCCCATTTGTCCGGCTGCTGGAAGAAAAAGACCCCTAGAACTCTCACACACAAAGACCACTTGGGAGAACACCAAAGCTGCGGGACAATCCAATTAACACCCAATTGGCATTTATTTATTTATCTTCGGGTGACTATAAAAAACAAGACCGTTAAACCTTTTTATTATTTTCTGGTCAAAGAAAAACCCATTTTGTCATTTGTATGTTTATTTTTATGAATTTATTTCCGTATCATCTTACAAAAAATTTTGATTTTAAAAATTATTTGCCCATACGTCAATGGAATGACAGAGCAGAGTAGCCCTAATGCTAATGGTGAGAGTGAGTGGAAAATTGAATTCGAATTAAGCCAAATCAAGATTCTGATTCCCTTCCATTCTAATAAACGAAAAGTATTTCATCATCTTTTCAGAGTTTTAAACAATTCCAAAAAGAAATATTAAAAATGTGTAGAAAAGATAACAAATTATTATAGTTAGACAGATGGCTGGCTGTGATAAAAAAGAACTAATATTCCCACATGTATTATATAGTTTAAGGCCTTGGTTTTCTAAAACTTGGTGACACTTGTGACTCAAAATCCATGTTTATCAGAGAGGGTTTGGTCATTTAAGAGCACCAAGAATCAGAAGTTCCATAAGCAACCAAAAAGAAAGAAGAGGGGAAAGAAAAGGGGAACAGAAATCACAAAACATACTAAAAACTACCAGGTTTGATTAATATGAAATGACCACAATCATTCCAGTTAGCAACAAAAGGACCTAAATTATAAAGACTGCACATTCAATATTAAACACAGCAGTGATTTTCCAGCTGCTCTCGATCAATAGTCTTAACAGGTCTAAGTCATCCTCATAAGAAAAAAAAATAATATTAATTCAAGCAATCAAAAATCATCTGCAAAGCTCAATATCTTTCCTTCGCGCCACGCGGCATGTCATCAGCAAATTAATCTCTTTAACTACATAGAAAAATTGGGAAAAAAAACAAGTTGGTATTAGAAACCATTTGGAGTTACAACTTAGGCATACTACTAAAAGTTCAATAATATACATTCAATTAGCAAGGTCACCACTACTAAAGCAAACAAGGAACTAAATTCCCTTTGCAGCATCATACTTCTAATACAGCTAAGGAAATTTCACAACAAAATCCCAAGAAGAGTTGCCAAAATTAAGCTTGTCGCAATTGAACTAGCATTTTTAACCATCGCATCGAAATACAAGGATTTTAATGCATACTTACTTTAAATACATCAAACAAAAAAAGCACTCCATTTGGAAGATAAAGTTAATTCATCATGGAAACACAAAACGGTTTAGTTTCAATTTTTTGCCCTGCAAAGTGCTCCTCTAAGTTGATTGATAAAAAGAAAACATGAAATGAATTGTACAAACAAGAGTATTATAAATATGTGCCACGTGCCACAACAAGAAAATTCAAAAACCCTCTTCACCTAGGGGGGATGCAGAGAACAAAAGAAAACTTCATGGCTCCCATGGGAATCAATTTCTACTAACAATACAAACAGGTCCATGCTACCAGCAGCTGATCGTGTTAAACACAAGCAGTTTCAAGTCACAACCATGAAATCTCTTGGTGCATTCTCCCACGAAAACTATAAATCACAGCCCTAAAATCAATTAAACTAATTTGCGTTATGTGAAGACCAAGTGGAATCACCTTGATCTTCTCATCCCCAGACAAGCATACGTATAAACCACCATGCGATTGAATTCCATAAAAGCACAGTAATACACTTGGCTTGTAAGAGTTGGATGCAAAAGGCTGAGTCAAGTTTCACGTTGATCAATTTCAATAACCTAATAAACAAAAGTGGCTTCCTTTTACCCTAATGAAATTGCCCCTGAAATTAATATCCAGATTTTTGCATGCATCTAGGATTTTCATTTTCCTTTAGTGCAGGAAGCATCCAGGCGGCCTACACTAAAAACAATGAAAACTCACAAGCAGGTGCAAGAGAAACAGAAATATTTCAAGTTTACAGATTCAAAAGCCAAAATGCCTCCTTGGGAATGAACAACATTTATGCCCCCAAAAGCTAAAAACTTTAGCTCCTTGAAAGGAATTCCATTAGCACTATTTGAGAAAGAAACCATTGGATTCAAATATCACAAATGAAGGTCCACATTTTACCTAATCAGCCTAATAAGAACAAAAAAACCACCTACAAGAAGGTAATTTATCAGAGAAGCATCAAATTGCCGCAAACCCAATAACTAAACTCACAGAAATCTCAATTAAAACAAACAAACCAGCAATACCCGCATCAAGAATAATCAAATCATACCATAAAGAACACACATTTTGATAGACACATACATTACCTTTGACCGTCAAGGTTGCCCTGTCCACTGCTGCCACCACTCCCATACGACCCATCATCCGCCGCTGTCTGCCACACCGACTGCCACGCCTGAGACGGCGGTTGCACTCCATAAACTGCAGCGGGGTCCACCGCCGGCCTCCCAATCATCATCCCCCCCGGCCCACCAGCCGGCTGACCCATCGGCGGATAGTAGTACGGCACACCACTTGCCGTGGCCCCAACCATCCCCCCGAGGCCCACCGCCTCGTCCTTGATCTCGTCTCGGGGCACAATATCCACCAAGAAATCGAATATATCGGTCCTGGTAATCGCGGCAGCAATGTCGTTTTTCTGCAAAGTTCGTCGCTTGTTCTCCTCGGCGTGGAGCCAAGAGCGGATTGTGAGCTCGAGGATGAAGAGCTCGCAGGCCTTGGCGAAGAGGACGGGGGCCTCGGCCGATATCATGCGGACGTCCTCATCCGCCTTCATGATCTTCTTGATGCGAGCCAATGGGAGCTGGTGGTTCTTAAAGTCGTTGACTTGTTCAATGTCGTGGCGCTGGTAGGTCCAGAACATCTGCAGCTGCTGCTGCTGCTGCTGGAGGAGATGATGAAATGGAGGGGCAGGGACTGAAGATTGGGTTGGTGGGTAGGAGGATTGAGCTTGCTGTTGTTGCTGGGTGGGGTTGGGGGTGGTGGTGGTGGTGGTGGTGTTGGGGTTGGTGTCCATTGGTGGGTGTGGCTTGAGCTTTTGATGGGGTGGGCTGATGAGGAAGAATAGACAAATGGGTGTTTGTGAGTTTTGGTTTTGGTTTTTGGGGTGAGGGGGAAGGAAGGGGGTTTGATTTGATCAGAGGGATGTGTTGAGATTTGATTTTCAGGGATTTTTGTGGTGGGATTTCAAGGGTTGGAGATGGATATGAGGGGATCGAGAGAGAGAGAGTGAGAGAGAGAGAAAGACAGGAAGACAGGGATGTGATACAATACAGCCTTGCAGATGCTTTTTTATTGGGCCTTTTTTTGTCTTCGAATAGGCTTGCACCACCTTGATATAAGAGAATAGGTTAACCAATATAATTATAGGTTACCTGAAAATTATTAAAATAAGTTGCTATTAGATTAGATGTTATGCGGTACACATATATGGAATGAATATAATTAAAACGCAAGACGAATTATATGTAAGAAGAAGGAAAATATAATGGCTTGCATTTTCCTTTAATTATCTTCAAAAGTACATGATTATGTGAAGTGCCTCTCACATTATAAAAATTAAATAAATATTTGTGTGTGACAAATGTCGTTCACATAGGCGTTGCATTACTTCTACGAGATCTTCCATGCATGAGAGTTTCCCTAATATTCGTGCGGGAAATGAACACGTCGCAGTCGTTTATAAGAGTGCCATATTCATGTGAGAAAGAAAAAAATCAAAATATAGATATTTTGTAAATCCAATATCATTTCAGACACATCGCGCCCGTTCATAAGAGTATCATTAATGAGAGAAAAAAACAACCAAAATACATATATTTTGTAAGTTTTGTACTTCCATTTCATCATCTACTGGTGTGAGTGGAAAATGTCTCACATTTTTCAAGTAAAAAAGTTGAATCCCTTTCTTTAACCAAAGTATATATTGCATTGCACCAATTACAGTTTGAGGCAATCAGGAATCAAAATAGAACCTGCACAATTATGTGTGTCGTGTATTAAAAAATAGATCCATTAGTCAATGAACTAAAGCAAACACATTTTTTACTTGATGGCACCTAAGCCACTCACTTACCCATATTTAGAATTATAGGCTTTAAGCCTATACCCATATGTCGTTGACTTGACTGATACCTATTGTCCCCTAGTTTATAGAATATATTAAACAATGCTGCTTATTATGATATAACAAAAATGAGAATGTCCCTCCATCTATAATATAATAAGAATGAGAACATTGCTACTGCTTCATGCCAGCCGGGTATAGAAAATGGGTGTCACAGCAGCAATGTACTTTTTTCTCTATCTCACTCATTTGACTGGTCGAGTGAAGAGAAAGAAAATATTTTGCTCTTTCTCACCCCTCATTTGACTGGCTAATGATCGAGATAGAGAGAGGTTACAATGCACCCGTGCTAGGAAAATTTTTCTCCTTTGGAACCTCTGAAATTCAGTTTTTACCGTTGTTTACCCATGGACAGTACAGGTAAAATACACAAGATGAAAAAACACAATTAAGGATTTCAAAATCCCTCTATAGTGAATGTGAAATGCGTTACTTTTGATACATGGCAGATTGTATATGTAAACTAAAACATTGACTGAAGATCAAGAGTATGATAAAAAATAATGGACTTAACATGGCAATGACAACGAAGAGTAAGCATGAAAAGGAAATAACAAGTATCAGCCACGAAGTAGACAGATTATCAAAGTTGAAACTGTCATTCAATTTTCATTTTCTTTTTGATATAACAGATACTGAACCCTGTAAAGCATTATGAGGTATAACAAAAAAAGTCAAGCAGCTCCTAGGTCTGCAAATTTGACCAGCTGCAAAAGATTAGCCCTTCCTGGGGTATTAAAACTTTGAAAACAAAAACCTCCTAAACTGTGGTTCAAGTCACAAATACAGCTGAAACTAGTCTCAAGGGCATTGCATGCCTTTGAACAAAACTGTGGATCCATCGACATAAACAAAAGTGAACAAAAACTGCTGTACCTCAGTCTTGTGACTCATGATAACTGCCCTGCCTAATTGGCAAAGAAGATGCAGGAAAAGAGGATGGACTTTCAATTCAACGGGTGGAAGAGATTGCAAGCCTTCTTCTTCTCAAATGATCTTTGCTACTTCCAGTGCCACAGATTAAATGACATAAAACAAAAAACAAAAGTTGATTCCTTCTATTTACGACAAGTCCACTAAAGCTGCAATCACTTAGCAGCCTCCATTTTTCCTTTCTTGAAACATCTCCGACTATATACTAGCAACTTTGCTCCTCGGGATACCTCTTCCCTCTTCATCATGTCTGCCACATCTTTTTTCTCAGGATCATCTACCAAACCTGTTTCTATAGTTATTTTTCCATTCTCCACCAGAGCCTCTTCCTTGGTGCTTTTCAACCATCCCAGTGGATCTTCTCCATTACATGTTTCACCTATCTCCTCCATTTCATCCTTACATGCTTCTGATTTCACCTGAAGCAGCTCCAAAGGAGTAGCTGCAGGATCAAGCTCCAAGCAGTCCTTGGGAGCATTAGGACCTTCATGACCAGTGAGCAAGACAGAAGGGACCTGGTGAGAGAAGCGAAACATTTCTTCTCTTGGAATTGTCCTGGTTTTACTTTGATGCAAATGTTGGCGGAACACTGTTTTAAAACCAGCTACTTTATCCAGCGGGACAATGCTCACACCTTGCTCCTCATTGTAATCTTCAAGCACTTGCACCATGTCATATTTGTGTATCACTTCATCTGGGGTATGTTCATTCCAATCAGGAGACCAGTTCCTATATAAAGCCCAGACATCTCCCTTTGCTGGATATATGCGAACTGCTCCTCTTGTGCCTTTTTTCCACCTAACCTTGTGTGAGAAAGAAGGAAGATGCCTATAGACTTCATGCTTCCCTATTCGGAGTTCCCCGCTAGTCTTAGGAAAACCACAAGCAATCCAATTTAGTGGAGCAAGTTCGCTATTGCTTTTGGAATTAAGCCAACTAATCCGAAGTCTGAATGGTTTCAAAGATATCACACTGTGAACCATAGCATAATAACGAGGCATGCCATCGTCTTCATCGTACACAGCCCAAACCTGATTGCTACCAAATGACTTCTCCGTGCGATCCTTGTCAAAATCGTGAAAATCAGGATCCGGAACAGTCATTGACACTGTATTATGTTCCTCCACATCAGAGTCAACACCAGAATTGGCAGGGGAAGGCCTTTTGCCATGCGTTACATTCTTGGCATCCACAAATACCCTATATCCTGTCACGTCAGTTTCTACACCATGCAGAGCAGCTTCTTCCTTTTCCTTCTCCTTCACCTCGTTATTATCTGCAGTTTTTGGTATAAATGAAGTCTTTGGTGTAGCAGCCTCATTCCATACATTAAGCTTCTTGTGAATTTCTTTCTTAGCCACTTCCATCAACATACTTCTCATTTGTTGCTGTGATAGCTCCCTTGTGCAATTAATTCTATGCTTTCCGGCTACATCAGACCTTTCCATAAGAGCAATACCCTTGTTAGGTCCAAATACACTTTTAATAGCAACTCCTCCAGTTTCCACTCCTACTTGAGTTGCCATCTCTTGCCTGTTCAGATGCCTTTTCTTTTTAGTCCTGTCTTTGTTGGGCACAGAACTGGAAACAACACTGGGAAACCCAGTAGCTAAGGCAGCATCTGCTTTCTTAGAAGAAAGATTTTTCCTATTATGGGCCTCCTTGTGTGGAAATGCCTCTTCATGCCCTCTCTTCAATTGCCCAAATGCTGGCTGAACGTCACCTGCAGCTTGACCAGCACTGGAAGCTGGTAACTGCACACTTTCAACATTTGACTTGAAGAATATACCCGCCTGAAAAGTTTTCTTTGAAGTGTCAACACCAGATATTCCTTCTAATTTCACATTTGTGGTTGCAGTCTGTGTCCTTCCCGGAGCATATGAATTCTTGGTCTTGTTGCGCAGACTAGAATTCTGTTGCTGAATGTAGGATGTCCATGAAGTGGATGAACCATTTTCATTTATAGGTGGGGGTGGTGTCTCATACGCTAAAAAGCGCTGATGGCAGTTGTGACAATAAAGGTTGTGATTGAGAAAAGCTCTAAGATACTCAAAATGCATCTTGCAACTATTACACACGGTCCAAAATGTGGGTTTCTGTGGATAAGGAGTTCGAAAAGGCTTGGTATGAGTAGCACTCCTCATCCTTGCATTTAAATGATTATAGTTGGAGAAATTATGGAAACCATTCTGATTAGTTGCCATGGATGAATTCCCATCTGGAGCTCTTTCGTGCATATAATTGAAGTTCAGCTTCTGGTCATAAAGAATTCTCTGGGCTTTATTCGACAACAAACTCCAGGCTTCTTTTACAATTTTGAAAGCACCGTCTGCGCCAACAGATTTGTTTTTATCTGGGTGAAGAATGAGAGCCAGTTTCCTGTATTGTTTTCGGATTGTGTCCTCATCAGCCAAAGGTTCCACACCGAGGACCTTGTACCAATCAATCACCCCATTTGCTCTCTTCTCAGCAGAGATGTAGACATCAAGAGTGGCTAAAAATTGAGAAATACCATCAAGCTCCGGATACAAGTTTTGGGCCTTTAAAGCAAACCTTTTAGCCCCAGGGAAATCAATCTGTCCAGCCTTCAACTCTGCAACCTCTTTCGCCTTAAGGGCCTCATCTTTATTACATTCCATTTTCACAATCTTGGCAACTCTCTGTACTGTCCACGTTATTTCCTTTGTTACTTCTTTTTAATGATAGGCTGCCACTTTATGGACAAGAGTCAATCCAGGTATTACTTTTTATCTAACACCCGATATTTTCGCGCATCATTAAGAAGATACCTTTGATTGTGGAAGCTGCAACCAGAAAACAGAAAAACCACAATAAGGAAACCAATTTATTTCAGATATTAAATAAAGATGGTGAGGATTAGTTGAGCAATATGGCCATGATTAATCAAAGACACAACTACAAACATAGAAAAAAAGAGCTAATGAATACTTCCTCTGAAACATCAGTTACAGAATCTTTCACACCTTCGAATCTAGAATACTAATTCAATGATCAACCGAAATACGCGGGAAATCAAGAATCCTTGAAATTTAACAAGTTAAAGCACTCAACTTCCAAAATTAGCACTGGATGGATAGACAAAAGTACATTGAGGGTAACATGATTGCCATGCCAGCCACATTTCACATTCATACACTAATCACACAGAACATGATACAATCAACAATAGCTAGTTTTGAAAAAAGAAGAAAAAAAAAACAATGCCAGTTTTGTTCCTGAAAAATGCTGGCAAAACTAATAACAGATCGCAGGGAGTAAGGATATTGTTGAATTCCAACTTCTCCTTCCTCACGGTTTCTCAGAAACCAGAGGACAATTCTCTTAGAAGTAGAATCTCAGTTATCATACACTTCAAATAAATAAACAATCCAAAACAGAAAAACCAATTCCCCAAATTTGGAGAATTAGAACAAAAACATATATACAGTTCTTAAATTGACTAAAATCTGATAGAATAGACGGACCCACAATCTAATAGAGACATGCAAACAATCAGAATTAGCTACCAATAATAGTTCAAATTACACATTCAACCTGCCCAATTTCAGTAGCTTTGGTTAAAACCCTAGAAAGTCGATAGCATTTCTGAAAATCTAACGGAAGCAACGACAAGGAAAATAATATTCCATACAGGGCACAGTGAAAACCATAAAGAAACAGATATATAAAAGAGGTATGAAATTTACCCATTTCAAATATTTGTATCGCAGAGACGCCATTGATGAATTCCCAACAAAATTCTTATGTTTGCCCCGATTGCCCTGATCAAAACTTAAACAATCTCAATTTCCGGGGTTTTTTTTCCTTTTTTTCTTTTCTTTTTTGGTGAATTTCTTTCAATTCCAGAGGAGAGTTTGCATGACAATATAATATTTATATATCCACATACATATATATATATATATATATATATATATATATATATATATATATATATATATAAATATTTTTGCTAATCATGACACCTAACCATTTTTGGGCCTATGGTTAAAACCCTAACCATGGTTAATTTTATTCTGCTTTACAGGGTTGCTACATTTCCATCCATAATTACTTTTGCCTAAACATGGAAATTTTGATTAGATAATTACAAGGATACCAACATTTAATTTTTGGTTTGCCATATTTTTACCTCAATTTATTTTATTTTGTTAGGTATTTTATTTCACAATGTTCCGTTTGGTCACATTTTCTAATCGTTTCAAAAATTGCGTGGTGCATCTATTTTGAAATAAGCGCTTAAAGTACATTAGTTGATAGCTAAGACAGGTATATTCAATTAAAATTTTAATAATTTTTAAAAGAGTAAATGCTTGTAAAAGTTAATGAAATTACACACAATGGTACTAATACTAAATGAAAGACAAATGAGTCTCATCTAGTGACACAACACTTTAGCATCTCACCTAAGTATGTAAATACGATGAAAAGTTACTAATGAGTGATATTTCTTTTTATTATTGAAAGATGTCTAAATTCGAATCATTTCTCTCCATTGCTTAAAAAAGAAATAATAATTGGCTAGCTTTTTCCATTCCTATTTAACTTTTATTGTTGAAGTCATAGTTAGAATTCTTTTTGAAAATATGGATGGATATTACATTCCTTGTAATTTTATTTTATTTATCGTTACAACGAGAAGGACGTGAAGTCTAATCTCACTGACTCGATTGAGAATTCACATATTATGTGCGAGGAGGATTGTTTTAGTACATCGGGGCTCTCAATATGCCACCTGTAGTTTTTGGTGTGTGTGAAAGAGAGAAACTGTCTTTTATTTTGTAATTCTCAGTTACAAATACAAACTTTAGTTTTTTAAATTGACTGGGATTTAGGTGACAAGTGAATAATATGGACAATGTATTACTGATGCTGAATAACATGATATTATTATCTGATGTCGATCACAGAATTCCATTTCACATTCTAGTGCACTTCCTCTGTTCTTATGATGAAGGCTTAGTTACCATTATGTTTCTTCCTCCGTTTTGATAAGAATTCTGAATTATACACAAAGTGCTTTTGCATTCTTGTCTTGGAAATGTCTTGGCTGCTCTTTCAGAATTTCAGCTTTTTCAAGCTCAAGCTGTTCATGTTGATGTAATAACAGCTCTTTCTTTGGTTGGACAAAAATGAAACTCTTAACAGAAGTTAAGGGTAAACATCAAAGCAGTCAAAAAGGATTTGTAGACAATGTAAGACGTTGGATTAATCTAATTACCTACTTAAGTGGTCTTCTAATCATCATAGGGTTGTCTTGGGCTCAATATTGATCAAGGACTCAATTACTACTCGGCCCGTAGCCTTTGTATGAGTGTTTAAGTTAAATACATGGGCCACAGGGATTCCTAATTAATATGGACTAGGGTTTTTATTTCCTAATGCAATAAGGACTGCTTGAGAGTTTTTCTTGATGGGAGAGACTCCCAGGCAGATGCATATAAAACACAAGTGCCCCTGCTCAACCGATCAAGCCAACCCACACAAAAGAATTCACCCCATCTAGAATGAGTGTATGAGGGATCGGATTGAGGAGAAGAGCTCTTGTGTATATTCTTGATATTTCGACAGTTTCTGTGACATACCAAAGATATGTGTTCTACTTATGTGCAGTCATTATAGTTTACATGTGGTATCAGAGCCTAGGCTGCATGTCTTAGAACCAAAAGTTTTTCTCCCATCTTTTCTGCCAAAGCCATTGGAACTCTAGAAACTCTAGTCTTAGATTATGAGGACCCGTCTCCACTGCCTCCCTCTAAAACCCCAGCTTCTGATTCTCATTCCTCTCCCAAAATCACTAGACAGAATCGATAATGGTAATTCAAACGACGGCAGCAAGACGCTTGCTCTCAGACCCAATATCCAAAAGCCGCAAGCCTAGGAAGAGGAAGTCGCGTTCGGCAGACGTTGAGCAGAAACCATTGATTCAGTTATCGGTTTCATGGGAGTTATTGAGTTTGATCCAGAAATTCAAGTTCTGAATAATAGGCAACACATCATGAAGCTTAACACTGCATTCAGACCCTTTAAAAGGTAAAGTCACCTATATTGTTTATTTTGGTTCAGCTCTAAAGATTATTAGATCCTAAACTTTTTGGCCAAATATCCCTAGAAATTAGGAAACGAAACATAAGGGGACAAATTAGCATAAAGGCTGCTTGCACCTTGTTTTGGGAGAGTCAATCAATCATGGATATAGTTGGCATGCATAATTTCATATATGGCATATCAGATCTTATTAAAAGAATTGACACATTGGATGCATGCTCATTTTCTTATGAATTAATACAAGTAATTTTATTCCGGCACTAAGCTAAATGCATTAGATCTCATTCAAGTTGACATGTTTTCAAGAAGGTTGATGTCGAAAAACATGGAATCGTAATCAAGAGTACTTGTGCTTGGCTTGCAATCTAGCTAGAGAGAGATAGAATAATTACATTTTTTTTTTCCAAAGGCCTTTTAGTAACGCTGCATATGTTGGGTAGTTTTAATCAAGCTGTTTTTTAGGTTTTCAAGTAAGCATGATAGTACATATATGCATAAAGTTTTAAAGCACCAAACCAGAAAGCTAAAACCTAAAACTGAAAGCTACATAAGCATGTATTGTTTTCTAATCTTTTGTTACACTAACATACTTTGTTAAGCATGTTTCGATATAAAGCTTTTCTCGTTCATGCTTGAAGGGTTGAGATCAAAGTTTCAAGAGTTCTTGTTTCAATTTAAAGAGCGAAAGCAACCTAGTTGATTAAAGAACCTTTGATTCTAATAAGATTGGTTATTAAATGTGATAAAAGTATAAAGTTTTAACTTTATCATATTTGGAAGTTTTATGATCATAGTCTACAGATATTCTAGCAATGGTTGAGTGAGCCAAAGCAACTCAATCATTAATAGTTTTCTGGATTTAAGGAATTGATCATAATTGGCATTGTAGGTGAAGGCGTGTTAAAAACTCTCTGTCCAAAGATGTGAGTGGTTTAACATGAGTACACTTATAATGGAACAGCATGGGAGATGAACTGCATGAATTAGCAAGGAATTTCTTCAGTCCAAAGACGTGGGAGTTTCTTTGTTCAGGAAATTCGTGTATGTTCATGTCCTAGTGTTGAAAACATGTTTAATTCTCTACCCAAAGGTGTGAATTAATTATGTTTGATTGAGGATATGGGGACAGATTGATTGTATGATATATTTTGGAAGATTTCAGTTATGTCACAATGAACCTTAACTCCATTGGCATACAAATTTTATTCTTGTTATACGGATTGTAACATGTTTAAGTTGTTGATGATAATTTGATATTGGTGATCTTGAATAGTCATGAAAGTTAATGGTATGACAAAGAAATAGATTTTTGGTTGATCACATAAAGGAGATATGAGTATGAAAAATTGATTGCATTAATTTCTCATATCAAATATTCTCTCAAGTTACAC